TTTCAGTAGCAAAAGTCAAGAACTGTGAACCATCCCCGCATAATCCTATACTCCATCTCTTCTCCGAAAGATGCATCAATATTCCTCAAGAGAAATGGCATGGATTCCAAATAAAGAAGCAAAATGTGCATAGTGCAAAACCATAGGTGAACCAGCATCATTCACACTGTGAAATCAAGCGAAAGACACGCCATCGCATCCTGTAGAGCATCGCTAGAATTCTTCAGAGTCGTAGTCTTCGTCAACGAGCAGGGCGCGATAACCCCTGGATGCAAGGTTTTCTTCCAAACCACCGCCGAATCCAGGATCGGCATAACCTACATCATAGTTAAACAAGCAGGACTTTGGGGAGAACGATTCAAAAGACGCAACCGAAGTTAACTTACCTTCGCCACCAAAATAACTGAGCACCACAGGCAGGAAGATGAGGGCATGGGTAGCGGCAAAGATGACCAATGCTAGCCAGACACGGAAATAGTAGATTTCAAAGATCTTGCTGCGGGTGAATGCCAGCACACAAACCCCGAGTAATTTGGTGATAGTGATGCCACTGAAGACACTGCCACCCACATTGACCAACGCAGTCCAGGCTCGTGCATCTTTGCCCCGGAACTTGGTTGGCGTCTTGTCCATTATTGTGCGTGAAGGGAACATGAATGCTCGAGCAATATGGGCGCAAAACTCGACACCGATGCCGACGCAAATAACCAGGTTGACTAAGGAGACGGCGTTGAGTGACACCCCAGCAACGGCCATGGAGCCAATAATATCCACAACGATCATCACGACCGTAGCAGTTACTACCGCACCAGTGGCGACAGAGCCTAGGATGATTGACGTGATAGCGAAGATAATGGCAACAGCACAGCCGAGCAAAGTGCCTGTGAGCTGCACAATCGAGACATACTGGTCGAAGAAGATATATGGTTTGGAATAAGGGAATACGTCTATGTCGTGTTCTTTGGAGATCCCATCCGCGATGCGACGGGCTGAGATGTAAGCCTTGATAAAGTCATCCTGACTCCTCAGAGGGGTATGGCTGGTTCTGAAATGGCTCGCATTGGTCATGACGTGCTTTGAATCGATGACAAGCGCGTTACTATATGGGGCTTTGCCGCCGAGAGGGCAAGACGCATCCGTGGGTGCTTCAATCCACTTCTCTAGATAGTGGACAAATTCTTTTCCTGTGGGCATGCCGTAGAGAGAGATATTCCATGCAGGAGTCCGGTCCTCAAAGCAGATCTTCTCGTTTTCCTTGCAGCATTCTTGCTGGGGATTCAGCCAATAAAAGAAATCGTCGATCCAACTTGCGGCTGATCCCGAGATATAGGAGACATTCGGTCGCTTAGACTCCTGCTCTAAGATAAATGACAAGGAAAATTCTTCGCAGGTCGTAAACCGCCCACAGAGCTGCTGCTGGTGGTTTCTCTCGGTCACGTTGACCTCGCGGGTCACAAAGTAGACTGGAGGACCGGTACCAAAGTAAGCATCTAGGTCATTAAAATATTGTACCAAATACGAATCACTCGGAAGAGCGATACGCTGATCCAATCCGAGAGACACTTCCGGGATGAGAGCCAAGCCAGCAGTAAATATGCCGAGGAAGACAATCACAACAGCAACCTTAACCCTGCGGTCAAGAAGATAGTTTGCATATATTTTGCGAATAAATTGCTGCGTCAGACTTTCGCCCTCCTGGTCATTGTAAGAGGGTTCTTCGAACATGCCGGATGAAGTCGCTTTGCGCACTGTAACGCACGGAATGCAATCTGCACGAAGACTCTCCACCCGCCTTTGGTTCAGAGCAAGTACTGAAACAAACATCGTGATTTGTAGAATGGCATTGATGAAGACAGCGCCAGCTGCGTAGATGGCAAAGTTCTTGACGGCAGGCATGCCCACAAACACACCGAGCGCAAAGGCGACCGTCTCAGTCAGGGCCGATAGGAAAATGCTGGGACCAATCCTCCCTACGGCACGGGCAACCCGCTCATCAATCTCTTCATCAGGGTGGCTGACATTTATTCGCTCAAATTCATGAACGATCAGGAAGATGTTGTCCACACCGACAGCCAATACAAGGAAGGGAATGACCTCGGCGATGATCAAGGTCACCCTAATTCCTGCTGCTGAAAACAGTCCTACCGACGCAGACACGGACATTAGGACGATCAAGATTCCCACGATTCCGAGCGTGAATTTCGACTGCACAAACACGTTGGCAGGGTTGTTCAAGAGAGATTTCCAGGTGACCGTGGCTGAGCCTAGAGCAAGGGACGCATAGATAAACATGATGATATAGCTGATGACGACAATTTTCGCATCGGTGTTGCTGGATTTGTTAAGTTCCTGCTCCAGGCTGACTTCAGTGTTGAATGACACACGAAGTCCACGTTCTTTCGCGTCTTCTTGAACGTTATATAACAGCTGTTTGAGATTGTTCTCCCAGTCAATGGCATCGGCCTCGTTCTCCGTACCTTGTGCGTGATTGTTCAGAACCCACGTGGTAATCAACGCTTGAGCGTCGAGGACGTTGCCTGACTCCTCGTAACCACCCAGTATCATTTCAGGTCTGAGAGGCTGTTGAAAGTCAGGGAGACAGCTCGGGTCACCAGGAGAGCTGGCACAGTGCTTAACTCGCTCTTCCCATGTGTCCGGGTGGAGGTTCCATCCTGAGCCACCGAAATAGCCTGTTATTGACTGAACCACACATGCGTCGCCAGTGGGTTTAAAGCAGACGTCGTCGAGTAGTAAGCTGCGACCCGGAGAGAACATTCGACGAATTTGAGATTCAACATCAAACCACCAGCTGAGGGTGTCGTAACTCAGAACCGGTCCATGTTCGTTGACAACAAATACCTGCTCAGCTCGGTAAAAGGGCCCAAAATTGGTATCAAAGTACTCCTTTTCTTGCGCCGCCGCCGATGTAGGGCTCACCCAGAGGCGTACAGGATCTGTCTCGACAGTGAACCGGAGCCACCCCAGACTCAGAAGGCCAACGAGCACTATGCTAGTTACAATAGTGATGGCTGGGAATCGAGCGCAAGTACCCCCAATGCTATTGAACATTGAGTCGAGCATAGAGTTCAGTTTGTAAATACCAGAAGGTTGCTCCAGCGACCCAGCAGCATGAACAATATCGCCCTCATCTTCATCGTCATCGGGAGATGGGTCTTGTAAGAGCCGGACCCTCTCGGGCTTGCGATAACGCTGTTCTCTGTACGTGAAGTAACTAGAAAGGGCCACGACGGCTAATAAGAATACGGAGTAAATCAGAATGACCGCGAAGGACAGACAAGGCAACAGGCCGACATGGCAGTATTTGTCCGTTTTCACCTCTGGTAGCTCCGGGCAGACTTCTGGACAATCAACACAGGAGCAGCGGAATGCCTCGTCAGGGTCATTGCAGGACTTCGGTTTGATAGGCAAGGCCCTCATGCCCTGATCGGGTGACGGGGGCTCTGTTTTGTAGTTGATCTGGAAAGGACTTCCAAGCAGCTTCTTGTCACCCAGGAACTTCAGGAATTGCGTGTAATTCTTCGCGCCGCCGCCGATGAAGTCGATGGCTTTGCCACCAGAAGCACCATTTTTGACGTTCTTGCAACTGTCATAGAAGCCGCTCTGGTATTCTTCGGACCAGAGATTGTCAAGTTCGGTAACTAATAACTTGCCGGAGCTAGCCTTCTCGGTTTTTGTGACATTGATGAACAGGGATTGGTCCGGAGAACAGGTAAAGGTACAGAAGATGTTGAAGAAATTGTCTTTGCAGGCAGGACATGATGCAATAATGCCCTCTGCAAGTTTCAAATTCTTGGCGAGTGCATCGATCTAGGCAGGCGAAGCACATGAGAATCGTCTCACTTGAAAAGGTTGCTTGAAGCCTTAACACTTACCTGCTCTTTTTCGCAACAAACCGGCCCCTCATTCCATTTGCTACCACACAAGTCCACCAGCTTCTTTCTCACCGGTACCTCGGGATCTCTTGCAGGACCGTTATCTGGACATGGCAGCTCTCCGCCGAAGAACGACTTCTTCCCGCAATGTCCTCGGATCGCACAGCGGCCCTCTTCGTGTACCTCAGTTTCTCCTTCAGCAAAGACAAGTGTGTGAGGAAGGAACGAAAGCAGGCCGAGACATGTGAGGATCGGGGTGAAGCGAAGTCCCCGCATCGTTGGACAAAGGGTTGGTCACGACTCCAGTGTCAAACACGTAGGTTTTTCGCGGTTTAATCAGAGCATTAGAAGGGTAATCGGTTGATGTAGGAAGGTGCTGAGAAGCTAGATTTTATGGTGGGCTCGCCGAAGACAGTCTTTTTTGAAGCAATAACTCCTCGATCAGGTGGTGTTGCGAGCCGAGGATATAATAAATCTAAAAAGAACGTGCAATTCTTGAAATTAGCAGTGCGCCGATACAAGTAACAATTAAATAAAGACTAGTCTGGCTAGAATTGAATGGTCTAAACGTCAGGGGACAGTGAAGCTCTTGAGAGGCTGGGGACGAGGCGATGGGGAGATGACGATAAGGGAATCAAGGAACTGGAAGTTTAGACCTCCACTAGCTAACATACGTAAGCGGAGAAGGCTGCCATCATCCCCACGAATAACGGGGTTCATCGGGCGCTAAGGTCAGGCACGTCGATCCTTGGATGATCAGGATAGATTAATCCAATCCTTTGCATGTTGACTGAGTATATCTGTGTTTGTGCATTCGACCAGTGTTGACAAACTAGCTGGAAGATCAATTTTTATCCAACATTTTGAGAGAGATTCTGCTGTAGGCTTCGGAGGGTAGACAGCAATACAAAGACAGGTAAGGCTGCATTGTTGTGTACCCATAAATATATAATTCGCCAATTCTAGGTAGGTACTGACTAGAACTGGCAGCTTCTGGACATATTCTCGCCTCAGCCAAAACATTTTGAAACCTCTACAATTTTTTTTGACTAGGGGTCAAAATGAACAATCGCCTGGCTCATGGTTTGGCCTTGTCAGAGTATTTGCCTAGAACACCAAACCACCTCCTATACGCCTGTTAGCACCTTAATAAGTCTTGAACGGCCAGACGGAAGGAAAATACCATCAACAACAATATCAGCTCCATTGATATAGCTCCCCCCCATATCACTGCAAAGAAACACCACCGGTCCCGTCAACTCCTGCGGTGATCCCATCCTACGCATGGGATTCCTATCCGCCCATATCTGTCGCCATGGCGCAAGATCCTCGCCCTCATTGAGCACCGTATCCATATATCCCGGGGAGATGGAATTGACTCGGATTCCGTATTGCGTCCATTCCGCTGCCAAACTATTCTTCATGTGTAGCACCGCTGCCTTAGAGACGTTGTACGCGATCTGAGGCTGGGGGTAGTTCACCCGATGACCGCTGATGGATGCGACCAGGACGATTTTGCCCCCGCGCCCACTGGCAATCATATGTCTGGCTTCTGCGTCAGGGGGCCTAGCTCATAGAAGAATATGGTAGATCGTCTTACTTCCCCACTGCCTGTGCAGCGATCCATGATCCTGTCGTATTTACATCAATGACACGGCGCCATTGCTCGATTGCTATGTCCTCGGCTGCTACGCAGTTGACTATACCCGCAAAGCAACAGAGAATGGTAAGCTCTCCCAGCTCGTTCTTTGCCTTTTCAGCAACGTCCTGCATGCCTGCCGCGTCTGTGACGTCGCAGTGATGCGTCATAATCTTCGCAGAAGGAAAGTCTCTTCGAAGTGCATTTATTTCCGTATCTCCCTTCTGGAGAGCCGATGAAAGATCAAGTAAAACAATGCCAGAAAGTCCATGCTCAAGAAGGGCTCGTGCGGAGGCTAGAGCAAGCATTCCTGCTCCACCAGTAACTGGATGCGAGTAAGATATCACCTAATCTTGACTTGTGGAAATCAAAGGGGGTAGGACCAACACACTGCGTTCCCGCTCACTCTGAATCTCAATGCTGCTCGCTCCTCCGGCGTGCAGTTATCTGGAAATGAGGCCGGTGGAGGCGTTAAAGTGGTAGCTGGGTCGATTTCTCCGAGCCGTATCCATGGCATCCTTGTCTGTACATGAGGCGTTGGAGGGAGAGGCACTTCTTTCTGAGATGGACTCATGGTCAAGGAATTCTGGTTATACTGAGCTTCTGTAAGGTAAGGACTCACAAACGAGTTGAATAGAAATCGCAACCTATCTATAGTGCTGCGGAGAAGTGGATGAGGAGTAGCTACCCCGCGCATGATCAACTCAGTACCCATAAGTGCCTTCTATCTTATTATTCGATTCATTGTATCTCTATTATCGGACTGCAGTGCTCCGAACACGCCCAAGTCGCTAATCATCTTGCAAAGTGAGTCCAGTAAGCAAGTCTGCCCATGGCCACTTACCAATACATCCTTTGATTGGAGGTACATGTCTACTACAGATTCAACAGCTTTAGCGTATATTACAACCTCACGTCAGTTAAAATATCCTACAATGGCATTCACATTGGCTACTAACAAGAACAGATCTCCCCGAACAACGTACACCATCCATCTTCTCGTGCTCACTTTCCATCTACCTTCCTCCTCTTGGCCCCCTTCTTCGGCTCAAACACCTCAGAATAAGACCGGAAGAAATCTGATGGCTGCTGGGGCTCCTCCAAAGTGACATCGCGGAATGCCGTCGTGGCAACATAGTTCGTCTTGCCCTCACGAACGAGCGAATAGTATTCAAGTATGAACTGAATCTCACTATCGTCGGTACCCGTCTGGCTCCTGAGGACCTTCTTGCCTTCATATCTGTTTCTGTAAGCCCCAGTCTCAATGGCTAATTGAGGGTGACACTAGCGACATACTCAGAGATATCTTCAAACTTCATATCTGTCCCTAGAGCTTCGCTTGCCGCTCGCGCTAGTTCGTCGCCGTTGAGAAGTGCCGGGCCTGTCGTTGTCAATCTCTTTTCACTTGATAATGATAGCAATGACACGGACATACCAATCAAAGTCATTAGCTGACCACGATGCTTATCGTCGAGTCCATGCTTTCCTTTGCCGGTGAGGACATGAGCCGCTAGTAGTGCGACGTCCTTTGCAGTGGTTTAGCCAGCCATCTTTGAGCGCTGAGAGCCAGACTTACACCTAGTGCTACGGGGGGAAATTTATGCTCGCGTCCGATCGGTATAGGGATGTATCCATCCTCCTTAGCCTGGGGGGCATACGCAAGCAAGTTTTCAGCGTAAAAGCCAGCCCTACAACGAGTATCATTAGACGTACAAAATTGCAATCCTATGGAAGCAACCTACCGGATGACAACAGGACAATGCCCCGTCATTGAGCTCGGATCCCCTTTCGTACTCAGAAACAAAGTCTCGTGATGAATAAACTCCCTCAGACGGGGCTGCTTATCCCGCTCAGCGAGATCACATCCCGCAGCGCTGAGGAAGACCACATTCGGCACATTGGCGCGCTTGGCCGCCTCGATGAGCTCGGCCGTGATATCAATCTTGTCCCGACTAGCTGGCGGAACCAGGCAGAGAGTGTCGGATTTGGTGTCTCTGATATCGGCGGCAACGTTCTTCAGACGGCCTGGTCTATGGGGTACGATGGTGGCTCCCAGGGATTGTAGGTCCTTGCATCGTTGGGAATCTGGATTGAGGGTTAGGCCGTGGACGGTGCCAATTTCTTTGGAGAAGTTCTCGTCAGTGAGGAGGAGCTCGGCGATGAGGAAGCCTGTGTTGCCTTCTACAGAGGTGATGCAGACGTTGCGCGACATAGTGAGCTGTGGTGGCTTGGATTGCTGGGGATATGTTATGGAGATTTACTGGTGTCATGCTGCGGTGACGCGAAAGTATCATGGGCTTTTATACAAGGTGATAACCTGCGTCATGGTAATATAATGATTAAGATGTGCTTTCAGGCAGAGATTCGGGATACAGATGCTAGCCAATGGAAAGCTTTTCCGGACTGCGGCGAACATGACCTAATAGCTGATTGCGGTTCTCTGAGACAAGACGAGAGCCGCATCGCTGCATGGAGCTTCTTATGCGCAGTTCGTAGAGACCTCCCAGCCCAGCCAGGCAAACTGTGGACTATAAATCTACAATCCTTGAAGGCGTGCAGGCACGACCGATCTGATATCTCCATGGAGACTTGTGCGTCAATCCAGGTTCGCCTTCGCTCATGATGGTCTTTTATCTTGAGCAGTCATATAGACGAATGCCAAGCTCTGCGCCTCCCAAGGTCGCATAGCCCGCTAATGGCCATGGACCATCGATGGAAGTAGGGAACATTTGCTAAGAGACTTTACGCCTCAGATTGCTTTCAAAGCTCCCAACTTCATGTTCACAGATCGTATCAATCCAGATCTCAGAACATATGCGGAAGATGAGAGATAAAAGCGACGGCCTCTTTGAAAAAGATTTCCCTTCGAATGGACGACACATCTACATGATCAGAATCTGGCAAAGGTTGCAGATAAAACCTATGGTCCTCTGTTGCAGAAAACCAGAAGACCCTATCATGAAAAGATTGCCATTAGAATAGAGTATAACACGTGAGGAAGCATTGGAGGATGTAACTCATGGAGATATCATGTCACCAGTATCTGCACGACCACAATCTACGGACGGCCGACTTCCATGCCTCGGAACATCAAAATGATGATCTGTGTCGCCAATCTTCCAGTTAGCGATAGGAACAAACAGGCAGAGATAGAATGTTGTGAAACAAGAACGCAAAACTCGATGTCCAATTGATTTCATCACAAATGGAACATTGGGCACTTTGTCGTTGACAGCCAAACTAGTATGCGTCCTCATCCGCTTGCTGATACACATGGCGTGCCCTAGAGGGATCTTTGCGCATCTGTTGACCAGAGCCAGTAAAGCCCACTATTCAACACAAATTAGCGAATTACTCTGAAACCTAGAATAATGGTGCCTTACCTCGCGCATTAACCCCCTCTCCTGTCCGAAACATGCTCTCTTTTCGGCCCAGCTTGCTCTTGCTAGCGAAATCCTTCCACTTCATCTTACCGGCCTCAAGCTCGCGAGTGGCCTTGACTTTTCGAGCCACCTTCGAAGGGCGTGCAGACTCGTCGCCGACCTTGTTAGGCTCTTTGCGCGCCTGATTTGCCAATGCAGGGTTGATATCTGCCGCGGCCGAGATGACGCTGGAATGAAGGGGTTGTGGGGTTGGAGTCTGGGACGAAGAGTAGCCTGAGCTTCCATCAGCCTTACGTTTCCGCGAATCACCGTTGGAGATGGGCTTGATGTCTTTGGCTGTCAGATTTTCAACCGTTCCGTACGACTTGAACGAGACCAAGTAAACAGGGTTGCTAGATGAGCCTGTTATTGAGGTAATGCGCGCAGGATAGAAAGAGTTATCGCCAGAAACCCATCGTGCGAGGACGTGGTCATTGACGGAGAACGTAACCGGCGTGGGGGCCTCCTCCGGAGTTTCGGCAGTGGGCTTGCGATACCCAGACTGATAAGCAGGGTGGTTTTCTTTTGACCATTTCTCCTTCGCTGGGGGATGAGAAGGTTTGGCAGCAGACGGAGGAGGAGCAAGCGGCTTGAGTTCGGCGATTGATGTTTCCGTGAGATTTATGAGTTCTTCCAGTTCAGTTTTAAGGCTCTGCAGTTCCGTGTTGTCTGGATCTACCTGCAAACTCGATTGAACGGTTTCAAGCTGGAATAGAGAGAAATCAAGTCAGATTCAGGACCGTCGCACAATAGATGACAATATGACATACCTGTAGCTTGAATTCCTTGACTTCTGCCTCAAGAGCTGCAACATCCGCCATGGTGGCTGAGTGAGCGCGAAATATGACGACGGAAATAAAAATCTAACAAAAAGAAAGGGTAGAATCTTCCCAGTGTACCACTGTGCTCCCAAAGAGCTTTTTTGGTCGCAGATTAAGATAAAAGAATGAGCTTTCCAGATGGTGGCTCTGAACTGAGGCAACATGGAGTAGGTACAGTGTATGAGGTTAGTGATCTTTGCGGATAAGGCTAGCACGTGACCAGTCCTTCTTATCAAGTGTGAAGACCGTCATTGTGAAGATTCAGGAGATCTTTTGATTGGGACGAGGAGAACAATAGGCAGAGGATTTGATACATTACTCCACCTTTATCTTCCGGGCAAGATCTGATATGTGGATGAGTAGATACTGTAGTGATTACAAGAAAAGGTCATCGTATTAATCATGCCAGGAGTTCTTCCAAATGATAGATGGCATTACCAGGTATCACCTGGGCCACCTCATGACCGAAATCTACATGATACTATCCATTAATATTGTTGAGAAAAAAGACAAAGGAGACACTAAGGTAGCAAGAAGCTCTTGTCAAGCCCAGACTTGGAGTAGATGGGGCCTACGGAGTACAGCATCTACTCTTTTCCAGGCCTGGTGGTCAAGACCTAGATAGCACTACTCCGTTCTCGGCAACCCAATTCCAGTTGCCACTGAAATCTTAAGTGGCCTCGAATACGAGGCAGTGAACCATGGGATCGATCTATGGACATCTTAGAGAAGCGAAGGGTATAGAGACCGCAAAGCCCGGATTCTCTGATGACTCTCTCCAGTGTTCTGGAATAGCTGGAGACCGAGATATTGCCTTCTCCTGAAGGTCGACCTTACTCTGCACCTGCTTGATGTGATGGCTCCGACAGTCGGAACGTTGAGATCGTCACAAATAAGGTACTTTTGGTGCAGTAGCGTATGCAAGGCGGTGGGAAATTGGGAATACAACTATGCCTGGGCCATGACTCTATGACTCATCCCTGATAAATTAACTAGTTAACTAGCTAAGCAAGTAAGTTAAGTCTCCCTGGTAGAAAAAGAGGACGCAGATTGAGGAACATCATCAAGAAAAATTGCCAAACAGCTTCTGATTGAGCATTCCATGGACTGTCAACTGAACTAGAAGGCTGGTACTACAATAAAATGGCGCGTAGAACTCCATCGGCGCGGAGAGAATCAATATCCGGCCTGGTCTGATTTCTAAGCATCGAGTCACTCAATTTTTCCGCTCTAAAGCAGCGGGAGGCACCAGACAGACCCATTGGCTCCTGTCCATCAACTTTTTATCGCTCAACCAATAAGGACTGTCAGTAGCGGACGCCGCCTTTTGTGCCCATTTGCCCCCCATCATTCTTTGGAAGCACCCGCAGTAAGACTGGCCTAAGGCTTTGATTGATTGCCTTGTGAAGCCGTCCATCGCCGCCCCCATCCAAGAAAGTGGAAAATGATGGGCTTCGGTTTCATCCTCGTACCACCTCCCCTCTCAGCCACATCTTTCTCACTGCACCTACCCTCATCATCAGAAACCCCTGTCTCAATTCCCACTTCGAATCGCTTCATCTCCTCAGGCTTCTTCCCGGCCTGAAAGCAATCGTTCGTATCCAAAGACCTACTCTCAATCGGACCCTGATTTGCCCCTCAGCACTAGCTATCAAGCAGTACCGCTGTCGTTTTGACCTGTGGCCACGCCATTCCACCTAATACGACACCCTTCTATCTGACACTAGGCCACTAGGCCACACTCTGGCATAAGCTCTTGGCTTCTGCAACCTTTGTCTTAATTTCATCACCTTTCCTTCACCCTTCGCTACTTCCCTCTTCCTCATCAGATTCATTTCAGGGATCGATTCTATCCTTCATATCTTCGTATCTCACTCGACTCCCTTGTAGGGCGTTGAATCCGCTCTACTGTGTCTTTTTTGATTCTCCCGCACTCTCTTCTGCCTATACGTCCAAAGAATTGATGCTTTGTTGAAGCGGGGTGGAATCGTAAGAGCTTTGGTGGCCTCCCGACTCCATCAGCACCCATAAGCCCAGCACTCACTCCACATTCTTTGTGCTCTCTCTCAAAACGATAAACGGGCGGGAAGCCCGGGCCTTTTCTGGTTGAGGAGACACCGATAAGCTAACGAACTCAACATCGCGTTATAATTGAACAAGCAGTCAGCGGGTCAAAGTATCATTCTCAATTGACCTGGGTCGTCCTACCGTTACTCACAACGATACCCCGCTTCTCTCTCAGCTGCCATGGCGGACTGCAATTCTCTTTATCAACAAGGCCTTTATCTCTCTCCCGATCAACAGGACCTCCTCCTCGCGGCTCTCTCATCGAACAACCTGAGTCAGAAACAACAAACGCTAACGCACAACTCCGAAGCTAATCAGAAGCTAAATCATACACCCGGCCATGCTTCGTCCGGCAGCTTCAGTGTTTCTCCTCCCAGTGGTTTGGACGGCTCGGTGAATCAGTCAACTACTTTCGGCTACGAAGATAGCCCTTACCTGGATTTGAATCCCGACTTCGACCTTGATTTTCTTGGCAACGAAAGTTTGATTGGTGATCTGCCCCCCAGCCTGCCTTCGACTGAAGAGTACGAACCCGGTGATAAGAGAAAGGATATCGATGGACAGGAAGATGAGAAGGAGGACTCGGGCAAGAAGCGAAGGGAGAGCGACGAGAAAGCGGCCAAGAAGCCTGGTAGAAAGCCGCTGACCTCGGAACCTACTTCGGTATGTTTTCTGTGATCCGTATTCTTCCGTGCAGGTCATTACATACATAAATTCGACTTTTGCGGGTGCTAACGTTTCGACAGAAGCGCAAGGCTCAGAATCGCGCAGCTCAACGGGCCTTCCGTGAGCGCAAGGAAAAGCACCTGAAGGATCTGGAATCCAAGGTGGAGGAGCTACAGAAAGCATCCGATAATGCCAATCAGGAGAATGGACTTCTGCGCGCTCAGGTGGAGCGTCTG